CACCAACAGCTGGAGTTCACGCTATGTATTTCCGTTTTACTTTTCCTCTCATCGCGTACTGCAGAAAGCACAGAGTCTTCAGTTCAGCCTTCGATCGACATGTATAACTTGTGTGAGCAGTGATCGACTGAATTTTTGTAGCTGTCACACGGCGTTCTTTGCACACGTTGTATAATACACACTTCCCAATTGAGTAGAGCGTGCTGAAGAACGATGGCCTGTAAAGGGCATTGATTGGAAAGCAGCCTAAACGGCCTTTCACGCATAATGTTTCATGAATCGCACAATTGCGGGAAAGGCTGCCTTGGCTACGCTTCAAATCACGCCCCTTCATACGCCGTGTACTTTTCAGGGATCATTGCTGTACTTTATTCACAATGAACAGCTTAATAAGAGACAACATATTTCAGCTACAAATAAATGCGAATATGCAAATGACTGTGTAAATGGGACTTGTGTACCTGTTATTGATCGTACTATTCCGGGCAACACATGCTCCTGCATACCTGGTTATACAGGAGTGCTTTGCGATGAACGTGAGTAATGTCTTTGAGGATTCAGAAAAGAGTAGTATTGAACGCAAGGGTATTTCCCAAGAGTCCAAGTAGGATTTTATAAGTGTTCTAACGTATCAACTAGTCTTTTTGGTCTGACCCTTGGCGAATGGTAATACAAGCAGTTCGCGTCAGAAGGGCAGACTACAATTGCCAAAGTTGGGAAGCAAATTGCTGGATCATCTTCCAGCGACCCTACGTCACCCACTTGTCAGAGCTCAAAATGCTGGATTACCTTTAAACGAACCCGACTAGCTGTCCACTGAATTACAGTCTTGTTCTCAGTGGATCCTGGGGTGTGGGCCTGAGATAAACGCGGCGCGATCCTGACAGTCTTTCCACAAATACAGAAGCCGCAAGGCAGCTATAATTAGTGGAACAAGGCCTGGCGTGGCTCCGAAATCACACCCACTCCCTTGACACGCCTCAGCATCCGTAGCGAAACTCCACGCTTTGTAGGCCACGTGGGACCGCGTGCATTGAATACGAATCACGGTCAACCAATCCATATCTTTCACTAGTGCATGATTTTTTGTTTAGTTTCTCATATTCATTCTATGGTTCAGTCCTTAGTCTACTCGTACAACGCGTGGTCCATGGAATAGTTCAGTACACAGCCAAAGAATTCCTGGGGGGAAAAAAACACACTGCTTGGAATTGAATTGTATCAGAATTGAGTATGGTTGCTTTCAAGCTTTTTACTAGCAAATACAGACAAATTCAATACTGATATTGGTAAACAATAATGGGATGAACGATCCTGAATCCTACAGTGGGCACGTTTATGTTTTTATGAAAACATGGAATACAGAAAAATTTCTGGCACCTAGTGCAACGAGAGTTGGCCAGCCTAATTTTTTCCATAGTGACTGATTGACTTACTTCATAATTGCTCTCTAAACCAGGTTTTCTGATCCAATCTCCAAAAAAAGCGCCTCGTGGGACCGCGTGAATTGTATGCGTACCGCGCTTGTGGCGTTCGAGAAAGCGCGCGTGTCCCACGAGGCCGAAAAGTAAAAACCCGCGCGGTCGTCAACGTGTTAATAATTTAGAGTGTAGGGGGCAGGAATTCACAGCCGACACTCACCATGATAAAAGTGGGTGCTTGCAGACGCCATCGCGAGGGAAAATAGATTTTCTAAGGCCCTCAAATTCTCCGATACGGTGACTTCACCACTGTTCAACTTCGATCGCGGAAAAATTGTATGACATGTATTCAAGAAAATATAACTATAGCTATAGAATAAGGTTATAGAAATCACAGCTGCTGTTACCAATTTTTGTGAGATGTTACATATATACTAGAAGTCTGCTTATTCAGTAATTAACTACTGCACACCTGACCCATGTCTGAATGGAACCTGTACGCCTTTCTATCTTGGTTATAACTGCTCATGTTACGTCGGTGTAACTGGAAAAAACTGCGACTTTAGTAAGTGGTTTTTCTTTGAAAAATAATTGTCACTCGTTGTCTAACCCCACATGCAATTTTTGGCACTATTCAATTATTACTAACCCAAAAGTCAATTTTTTTTGCTGAAACTTGCCCACAGAGGTAATTCGGTGTCCTGATCACGAATATAGCACTCGTTTTCGGCGCTGGCGCCAAATTGGCGCCATTTGGCGCCAGTTTGGCGCCGCCACCTTTCTCACCAAATTCGATGTAAATTTGCATAGTAGGGTTACTTGATGTCCTGATCACGAATACCACATTAGTTTTCAGCCCTGGCGCCATTTGGCGCCATTAGGCGCTGATTTGGCGCCACACCCTTTTTCATCAAAATCGATAAAAACCTGCATAATGGGGTTGTTTGATGCCCTGATCACGAACAGGACAATTATTTTTCCCACACTACGCCAGCGCTCTTCTAAGGCTGAGCCTGGAAGAAGGAGTGATTCTCTATAGGCCAGGCTCAGCCTTAGCAGAGCGCAGATGATCGTAGTGTCTTCCATCAGCGCCAGCGCCAAAAATGAATGTGATATTTGTAATCAAGATGTCAAATAACCTCCGTATACAAGTTTTCAGCGGATTTGGTGACCTAGGGTATTTTGGCGCCGGCGCCTGTGGCGCGGGCGCCAGGCAGTTTCAGGCGGAGCGGATGTGATATTCGTGTTCAGGAGGTCAAACTACCCCTGGAACCCAACTTTCAGCCAAATCTGCCCCCGTAGAAAAAGTCGATCAAAACTCGGCCTTTTTCAGGAAACTGGGGTAGTAATAGTTGAATAGTGCCCAGTTTTTTTTAACACGGTGAACCGT